TGAGAAGTACTTTAGCTTAAACTTCCATCCCCTCCACCAGGAAGCCCTTGAATGAAGGCACCTGGGCTGGGAATAGAGCCAGGCTTTTGAGCATGGCTGGCCAAGGAGGGAGGGACTTGGAGGAGGCGAGTGGCACCGGGTCCTTGGCTGCATCTCCCTCCAGAAAACTGGAATGTGCACTAAGTCTGGTGTGAGGAGGGCGGCTTCCCCCTTTGAGACTTGCCAGGAGAAGTCTTGTGGTTGTCTGTGGTCAGGCTTGAGAGATCACACATAGGGTTTGGGTCTGGAGCCAGACTTTTTAATAAGTTAAATAAACACATTTTTGAAACTATAAAGCATTATTTATGTTTAAGTCATATGTGTTATTCATACAATTAAAAGCATGCTGTACAAGCAATATTCCTTATAGAGAAAAATATTTCTATATAATATTTAAATCTAAGAAAATGTAATCTTAACCCTTGTCTTAACCTCTTGTTATAGGTGACTATTGGGAAAATTTAATATTAACCAGAAAATAAATTGTTAATATGAGAATGTAAAATAGTTTGAGAAATAATAATAATGATACTGATTAAAATGCAAAGGAAACATATCTTTGTTGGGGACAGTGGGTATTGGGTTGTGAAAGTATGATTTAACATCCAAATACCCTGGGAAATTTGAAGTGACTTCCTGAGCAGATTATACATAATGATATTGTATGAATATATTAAGATTTTAAATGTTTCTAATAGAATTTGGTTTTGATTGATTTCATCTTTACTGTGTTAGGGATGTCTGAGTCTAATTGGGAATAGTATTTGGCCTCCTTATACAAAAGCAGATGCACTTTTTGCATAAGTAGGATGTTATATCTGGGTTCGTATTTTTTGATGCCTCTAGATTTATGACACAAAATTGTATTTTATGCATATGGAGGAAAATCTGATGATGTAATGGATGTCAGTGTAAAGAAGAGTTAATTTAGTTCCTTTCACAAATAGTAAATGTTTTACAGTAACTCTGGTATAATTTTGGGTACACAAATTGATTGCTTCATTCATGCATGTATAAATCAAATGTAGAAAAATTTTAAAGTCAAAGAATGACTTTAATGTTTAGAAATCGTCTGCTTCTCTATTTCTAATTTTACTCAATTTGAATAATATGTTTGAACTCTTTAGTGACTATGTAATGGGTTTCACTAAGATTATGGATATTATTTGAAAATTCCATAATTATGTGTCAATTTAAATAATTTAAAGTATGCATAATAACATGCTTAATAATTTTTTAGAATTTATAATATTTTAGTACAAAAATGATTTCAGAGAAAAAAGTTGAAAAACAAGTGCCTTGTTTAAAATATGCTGATCTGTTTATCTTATGACTGTTCACCTAATTTAATTCTGATACATCAATTAGAAACATGTAGCATTATGAAATGGGCATTAGCTTTGATTCAGGTATCCTTGGATTCAAACCTATGCTTTATAATTATTATATGGTTAAACAGAGACAGATTAATGAGCTCGGTTTACATGGGGAATAAAGCCATCAGATATTAATGGTGAAACATTTAAAATTGTATATTCATATAGACAAATGTGCATTAATGTTCAGTTATATATACACATACATCATATATGTGCATATATATGTATAATACATACATATGTATGTCAATATACTTATTTGTATATTTAGTGCCTGAGATATATATAAATTAGCTATCTTTCCTTAAATTGTTTATAATCTAATGATGAAAACAGATAAATAAGTACATAGAAATGTATGGTAGTATGGGGAACAGATGAGAGGCAATCTGAGCTGAGTGACGTATGTATTTGCAACAAATGTGAGGATTGGATATGGCTAGACTCCCTACAAACAGGTAACAACTTAAGGATAAAATGAAAGATTAAAAACTAGGGTAAAGAGGAATATGGTGATTCACGCAGGCAGCATAAAGGAAAACAAAGAAGAATGAAACAAGATTGTATAAATGAGAAAGCAGTTTTGTTGTTGATGATTAAGCAAGAAAAAACAGGTAAGCTGAGGCTGTAAATGAGTGGTAGGTTTTCTGTGTTATGAAAGGGACTTTGGACTTTTATCTAGTGGGACAATGATTATATTATTCAAAGAATAAATTTTTCTTAAAAAGATAACTTCTGATAGACAGGTAGTGGATTTGATGGGTTAAGTTTGGAAGTAGGAAGATGATTCAGGTGATTATTGCCAACTTTTTTTTTTTTTTAACCACAGAGATGGTGGAATTCTGAACTAAGTATGTAATATAAATAGAAAAAAAATAGCATAAGAAATGTTGATAAATTATCTTAAAATTTTACAAAATATATCTCTTGGTACATTTTAAAATTTCACATTCTTTTAACTTTATTAGACTTTTCAAAATAGATATGACCAAACAAAGTGAAACAATGCTAATTTTGGAAGTATGACGTGCAGACAGGTAGGTAGGGAGGTGGATACAGATGCATACATGCACATGCAGCACTCATTTGTATATACGTGTATCAATTTTAACCTGGACTAGATTGAAGGTACATGCTAGAACACAATTAAACTCACTTTCAAAGTTGATCCTGAAAAGCAGAAAAATAATGGAAATGGGGAAATTTACATCAAAGTTATTCAGAGGTTTGAGGTTAAAGAAACATTTTATTCAGAGTTATTGTTGGAGCATAAATATAGCTTCAAGTTTTATGTTTTGATAAGTTCCGAGGCACTTTTAATTCTAAATTGCATAAACTGCTTTCAGGAGAAAATAGAACTACTGTTACATAAGATAGAGAGCATATCCAGGTTTTGATCTTGGTGTAGGGAGCAAGAGTTTAGTACCAGCTGAAAAACTCATGCAGTTAACTGTAACTTCACAGACATTTGAACAATAAGTACAATTTATGAGCCACCACCATCCCCATAGTAACTGTGTTTTTATGCCCTCTGTGACCATTTAAAAATATTTTTCATTCCATGGTGTCTGTGTAAACTTAAAGATACGTAATTCTGAGTGATACAAAAGTTTCTGTATTAAAACATTTTAGTAGGGGAAGAGTCTTTTGTTGTTTAACTGAACTGTAGAAAAATGCAGCAGATACATTTTTTGACTTACGATAGATAACTAAGCCAAATCTAACTTTTTAATTTATCCATTAATTTATTATGAAATATTGCAAAAATGCACAGAATATTAAAATGAGCATCTATAAACTGATTCCTTAGATAAGCCAATATCAATGCTTCATCATGTTTGTTTCATACATTTTAATTATTAACAACATATACAATGGAGTAAGTGCAGGAATTAAGTGGTACAAACTTCCAGTTATAAAGTAAATATAATAAATATAAAAAAACAGAATCCTGCACTCAGGTTTTTCCATATTGAATAAATCTGTAAAACCAACACACAGATAAAAAGATAGAACGTAAGCACACCCTCGAAGTCCCCTTGTAGTCCTCCTTCCAGGCCACTGTTCCAAGTATAGCTCCTATCTTGACTCCTAAGAATTTTACCTGTTATTTAAGTTTTCATAGAAAGAATCATCTCATCTGTATTCTTTTATGACTAGCTTCTTGCTTGTGCTGTTTTGATACCTGTCCACTTTGTTGTATATGGATATAATTTCCTCATTTTTAAAAAAAATTTTTGGGGGGAGAGGTAATTAGTCTTGTTTGTTTGTTTCAGCGGAGGTACTGGGGACTGAACCCAGAACCTCATGTGTGCTAGGCACGTACTCTTCCCCTGAGCTGTACCCTTCCCACTAATTGGCTCATTTTAACTTCTGTACATTATTAAGTTGTATGAATATACCTCAGTTACACTTATCTAAATACTGTCAATGGATATTTGATTTTATGTCTACATTTTTTTGGCCATTAAAATTAGTGAGTGCTACTGTGAATATCTTCAACGTGTGTTTTGGTGCACATATGACTGTATTTCCACCTTGAAGTGGAAATAGTGTACCAGTGGGTGTGCAGATGTTTGGTCCTGATTAACTATAGTAAATAGCTAAATAGTTTTCTGAAGCGTACAAGTCAGCTTGCCCTTGCATCAGCTGTGTGTAAGAATCCTGTCTTTACCACATTCTCATCAACATGTAGTAGTGTCTGTGTTTTTCATTTAACCACTCTGATGGGCTGTAGTGATGCTGAATTGAGGTTTGAATTTGTATTTCCATGATTATTAATGAATTAGAACATATCTCCACATATTACTTGCCACTTGGGGATACTTCAGAAAGAGCCTGCCAATTCTTACTCATTTTTTAATTTCAGTTTTATGTGTGTGGTGTGTGTGTATGTATTTATCTCCCGTATACAGACCCTTTTTTTGATATTTATGTATTTAAAATATTGTCTCTCTATAGTTTGCCTTTTCATTCTTTTTCAATAACAAACTTAAAATCTCATCAAATTTATCAGTATATTTCCTTTATGATTAACAGTGTTTCTGTCCTGTTTAAAAAAATATTTGCTATGACACTTTAATGGAAATATTTTATTATTTCTTTGAAGTAATTTATTAATTTTCAGTTTAATATATAATTCAAAAGAATTACTATTTATGTATGAGTCAGGTAAAATAATATTTAAGTTTTCTACAGGCACAATCAGTTGACCCAAGAGAATTATATTGAAGAGACCATCTGTTTTCTCACTACACTGAAGTGTTATCAGTTGACTCCATATATAGGCTGGTTTTGAGACTCTATTCTGTTCTAGTCTGCTCCCCTAGTACCTATACCACCACCCTCTCTTGGTTTCTATAATTCTTTTGTTTGTTTTTTAGTAACTCTTTGTAAGTGGTACATGAAATTATGCATCTTTATGCTCTTTCAAGATTGCTTTTGGCCTTTTGTAGTTTTGTATACATTTTATGTTGGTTTTTTTTGTCTGTTTTCCATCAGAGAGACAGCACTATTGGTACTTAGGGAGTGCATCAACAGTATTGACATCTTTAAAATATGAACTGTTCCCAAGAATATGGTCTATCCATCCACTTAGATAGCTTTCTGTTAACTATTCTCAAAAATGCCTTTTTAGTTTCAGTGTATTGGTTTTGCATGTAATCCCTAGTATTATCTGAGTATTTCTTACAGCATAATCTAATTTCACTTTACATAGGCATATTGATTCAACCTGGCTAGAATTAACTAATATCAGGCTTGAGTATACTGTAGGATGGATTCTGCTGTCGTGCTTTTCCAGAGCAGTGCTTTATCAAAGAAGAGTGCATTAAGCTGGCTGGCCACAGGTAACACGGCTTTCCCTTATTTCATTCTTAAAACTCATCTATTTCCATGTTCTGTGCTATTTTTTGACATAAGAGACTTACTTTATTGAAGTTTCTACTCTTGTTTGTTTGTTTTTTTTTCCTTTTACCAGTGGCTACTGAAGTTGAATTTGGAAAACTTTTTATTAAGTTTGGCAAGACAAGCTGGAAAATGTTTATATAAGTTTACAAATCCATTTTATCAGTTAACACTTCAAAACAGTAACATGCTAATTTATCCTTAGTACATACAGATCACAAAAAATACACACAGATACATAATTTATATTTATTCAATAATCTTCTATTATGGAAACACTTATTCTTATTTCAAATTATGTGTTTAATATATATGCATTTGCATGTAAGTGTTTCTAAGAATTTAAGCTGTTATTTCTAAATGTCTTTACTCTTAAGTTTCCACTCTGCAAAGGATTGGGACTCAGTACTAAGAAAAAGTGTAAGTCTTCCTCTGTACTTGTGATGTGCTGAGCTGTGTCCGCCCAGAATTCATATGTTGAAGACCTAACCTCCAGTACCTCAGAATGTGACTGAATTTAGAACAGGTCCTTTAAAGCGGTAATTAAGGTAAAATGAAATCATATGGGTGAGACCTAATTCAATGTGATTGATGTTCTCGTGAGAAGAGATTGAGACGGACACAAAGGGAAGACCACATGAAGACTGATGATAGTCATCTGCAAGCTAAGGGGAGAGTCCTCAGAAGAAACCTACTCTGCCAGCACCTCAGTCTGACTTTGAGACTCCAGAATTGTGAGACAATGAATTTCTGCTCTTTAAGCCACCTCCTCTGTGGAATTTTGTTGTGGCAGCTCTAGCAAACTAAATACAAACCAAATATGTTGAACCTTAGATTTTCTTTCTACCCTAAAAAGTTAAGTGCAGTGATGCATTTTACGTTTCTACACTGAATAATTGAGTAAGTAACTTTAAGGTACACAAAGTGTTCATTTGATGCATTTATATATTGCAGCATGATTGCAGCTGTAGCATTAGCTAACACCTCCATCATGTCACATACTTATTATTTTGTTTTGTGATGAGAACATTTACGATGCAGTCTCTTAAGAACTTTGCAGTATATACTACAGAATTGTTGAATCCCCGTGCTGTGCATTGATCTCTGGAACTTCTTCATCTTCTAACTGCAGGTTTGTACCTTTTGATCAACATCACCCCAGTTCCCTCCAGTCCTTGTACACCACGGCCTCTGCTAACCAACACTCTACTCTCTGTTTTTATGAGTTTGACTTATTATACAGTATTTGTGTTTCTCTGACTTATCTCTCAAAGTTCATCCATGTTGTTGCAAATGGCATGATTTCCTTCTCATCTTCTTTATAATTTCGTAGTTATCTACAGCATGGGTGTATAAGGAAAAAGCTGTGAAGATTATTTGAAAATAATAAAATGAAAATGAAAGTTTTTTTCTGAATTTTGTGTTTCAGATATGATATAACATTTATTACTTAACTTTCAAACCAAGATTGTAAGTTTCAGTTAAATCTGCAATGAGTTTTGGTAGGATTTTTTTTTGTTATTCTGAGTAATTTTGGAGATTCTGTGTATTATGGAAATCAGAAAATATTTTGAAATATTATTTCTAATACTTAATCCTTCGTAACAACATAAGTGGTGAAGTGAGAAATTATACAGAAGATTATCAATATGGATAGATTTTCATTATATGCAAAAATGAACCACATATTCATTTAACTATTGTTGGCACTCAGTCTCTCTAAAAATTGGCAGACTAACGGCCTGTAAAGGGATAATTTTTCACCAAATATAGTATCAAAATAACAATTATTAATAACTTCCTGATAGTTGAGGAGATTTAATATGAGATTAATAACAGGAAAAAAACATGACATGAAACCAAAATAATCTCACCTTATGCATGCTTTTAGCTTTACATTTAGCATTTGTTTTTAAAATTCATGGTTCTTAGAAATTCAAATTAATTAAAATTATTTAAAGCAAGCCATGCGATATTTATGATATAAAACATTGTATTTTGAATATTATTCACAGTCTATATATGTCTTATATTTTATTTTTGGAAATGATATTAACATAATTTAAATTATAATAACTTAAAAGATACTTACAATATTGCATTTGAAATTATTTGACTCTAGTCCAAGTCTAGCCCAAAAACTTTTCTACAAATAAAATTTTTAGTGATACCAAATGTCTCATTCTTAAAGATTCAAATATATATTCATTTTATATTTTTTACATAGGTATTTTATAACAATGTTTTTTCCTCTAGCCTCAAATATATTCCCCCTAGTAAATTTATAACTGACATATTTTTACATCTTGTCAAACACACACACACACGTTCCAGAAAACAGTCTCACCATTGACATACGCCAGTCATCCAGACATGAAGTGAAGTTCATCAGAGTTGTAAACAGCCTTTATCTATCTTAGAGTTGCTTATATTATAGCTGATGTATAATTGGCAAAAATAATTCTCTTCTCTTTAAAACCACAATTGTAACAAGCACATTCTAACAAGCATACAAAATATAAAATGTTCTAGGTCAGTGGACACAATATATTTTATGACACCTAGCTAATTCCACATGATGAAGTAATTATCGCAAGGCTGATCTGATGCCAGAGGATATTTATATTAGCCTGTTTAAAACAGATTTAGTCTTTAAACCATTACAAAGAGTATCACAATTTTTTACATATAAACTTTCCATTTAAATAGATATTTTTGGATTATAATTAACTCAAGATTTTTAAAAATGCAGTATGATAGACTTTATTTTTTCAAGTGTATGTAACAGAGATGGATGATAGATGATAATCATGTAAGTAAAATTATTTGAGATTGATCATTTTAATTAACCTTCTCTGATTCTTACATTCGTACATGGTTTCTCATCATTGATCCATTCCATCATTGCTGAATATTGGAGAGGATTTTTCACTGATCTGTTGTAATTCTCAGAAGTCATGTAAGTGCATCAGTCAACAATTGAGCAAAATTCTGGATCATTAGCCTTTTAGGTAAGCATAAAAATTCAGATCTTAGCATGTACGTCTTCAATATTATAAAACCATGAGCAGATTATATTGTTACTGTCTCATTGTCTAATTTAGTATTCAAACATAACATAAAAAAGGAAATCAAGACTGTTATTATTGCAAAATGTAACATTTTTATCCAAATGCACACCTTTCCATGTATTAAAAAAATTTCAATTTTATTAAAGTTTTCTAGGTTCTGAAATACAATGTATCTTCCTAATAACTTGATGTAGTTTTAACACACAGGAAAGCAGTTTTAATTTCTAGGCAGAATAATGAAGCTGTTCAAAACTGAGTTTTTGCTGTGTTCAAGAAATGGTTTGCTTCTAATAATACATGATATACCAATGAAATATTAATTTTGAAACTTTTAAAAAGAAAATGCAAAGAATATTAACCCTTATTTTACTTTAGACTTCCTTTAAACCACACTGCATAATCATTTTACTTCCGTTCATGCAATACCAATTATAATATCCAATCAGCCTTCTAGATTTTAAGTTGCAATCAAATTCCTGTTGGGATTTCCACATGCCATTGGGTGACAAGTTACATCTGTTAAAGTTATTTTAAAGTCAGTTTTCAGCATAATATTTTGCACTTAAATATTTATACATTGTAAATCAAACATGAAAGTTTGATTTAATAAAATGGCTTGAGACCTAATTGAAATACACATAAATTAAATGCCTGAAGTTTTGAGAAAATAATTGAAGCATCCTAGACAAATGACATTTATTTTCAAAGCATGGACACTTAAAGACTTTACAGTCTACTTTATTACTTGCTTAACTAAATGTCTTTATATGCATGAGCAAATGTAATCATATAATCAATAGAAAATTAAAAATTTGATTTATTTTTGTATTCTATTTTGAGGGTTTTTCTAATTCAGTAGATACTTGGATTGAAATTGTAAGAGACTATTTGTATCTCTGCTCTCCATCTTCTGCATTAAGCTCTTCTTGGCCAGTGTTAGTCTTTTTTCACTTGTGATTCAAAGTCAGAAGTTGATTGTATACATTTTAGGCTGCCCAATGGAAAAGCAAAATAATCAGGCACTCATAACCTAATTAACCCTAGATAATTATTCAATATGACTGGAAGTAGCTAAAAAATTACTAACAAAATTCACCTAATTTTTTTTTAAATTGGAAAGCAGTTTCAGGATTAAAGGAATAAACCTTTCAAAGCAAAATAATCAAACTCGTCATCCTAGGTCCCTTTACATTCACTGATACATTTTTTAAAACTCTGGAAGCATGACTGTGAGACCAATGCCGGTGAAAAATTTTGTTGCAGCGTAACCTACTTTTCTCCTAGAATCTTGGAGTTTTAATACCTATAATAATACTAACTCTTTTCATCTTGTGGTAAATTGAAGGGCAAATGAAAGAAATTTAATGATGTCACCAAATATTCTCAGCAGGGTACTACTGTTTGCTTTCCTTAAGTATGGCTTTCTGCACTCAACAAAATGTAAGATATATAATTTTTTTTGGTAAATTAAAATTTTAAATGATAAATGTTAAGAAATACTATTAATACACTCATGCATCTATGAGCAAAAGTTTAAAAAGAGTTTTAAAATTTACTGTACCCCTTCCAAACAAACTGCAAGTGGTAAGTTTTTAAACTGGAACATTTACTGTGCCAGTCTGCAGTTATTAAAGTAGAACTCCTGAAAAGACAATAAAATGTATTCTAAATAGTATCATACTCACATACAATACCTAATCAGAATAAGAAACCACAATTTCTGTTTAAACTTTGATATGCCTTAGTAAAAATTCAAGTCTCAGACTTTTAAACACTCAAGTTTAATGCTGAGCATGGGACAGGGTTATATTATCTACATCTAAAAAAGTTTATAACCATGGAGGCCTACTTCAGCAAACAAACAAAAATCTTAAAAATCTAAACTTACGCATAAAGGAAAACAAAAGCTCATGGTTAGTAGAAGCAAGGAAATAACAAAGATCATAGTAGAAGTAAATGAAATACAGGCAAAAAAATAGTAATAGAAAAGATCAATGAAACTAGGAGCTGGTTCTTTGAAAAGAAACACAAAATTGATAAACCTTTGCCCAGACTCATCAAGAAAAAAAAGAGGGCCCAATTAAATAAAATCAGAAATCAAAGAGGGAATGTTGCAACTGAAGCTACAAAAATACAAAGGATCATATGAGATTACTACAAACAATTATATGCAAAAAAGCTGGACATCCTAGAGGAAGTGGATAAATTCCTAGATATATATAATCTTCCAACACTGAATCAGCAACAAATAAAAAAAATCTGACCAGAACAATCACTAGTAATGAAACTGAATTATTAATCAGAATTATCCCTATAAACAAAATTCCAGGACCAGGCAGCTTCACAGGGAAATTCTGACATTTAAAGAGTTAAAACCTGTCCTTCTTAAACTATTCTAAAAGTTGAAGTGGAAAAAAACGCTTCCACACTGTATTCCAGGAGACCAGCATTACTCTGATACTAAAACCAGAGAAAAACTCTATGAGAGAAGAAAAATACAGGCCAATAACCCTGATGAATATAAAGGCAAAATTCTCAATAAAATATTATCAAACTGAATTCAACACCATGTTAACGGATCATATACCATGATCAAGAGGGATTTATTCTAGGGATGTAAGGATAACTCAACATCCACAAATCAAATAATGTGGTAAACAGAAATCATATGATCATTTCAATAGATGCAGCAAAGCATTTGACAGAATTTAACATCGATTTATGATAAAACTATCAACAAAGCGGGTATAGAGGCAACATACCTCAACATAATAAAGGCCATTTATGACAAGCCCAGAGAAAACATAATAACTTGGTGGTGAAAAGCTTTTCCTCTAAGATCAGGAGTAAGACAAGGATACCCACTATTGCCCCTTTTATTCAACATAGTATTGGAAGTCCTGGCCACAGCAATCAGATAAGAAAAAGAGACACCAGAGGAGAGATTTTTCTTCAATTAAAAAAAAAATCCCCTATTATGAAGGTGAGAGGAATCCATATCAGCTCTGTAGAAATGCTTGGGCTGCATGGATATCCACTAACACATGTGGATGTGCAAGAAACGTGAATAAAATTCAGTGACTGATCATTTTACTTCAGGACAAAACAGACCACTAACCATAAACATATATTATCAGAAGTTAGACCTGCATTTATCTCAGACCTAGACTTTCCAGGGAATTTAATTTTTTGAGGCCTTTTTGAAAGGTTTAATGGGCGTTAGTAGGAATAGTAAAGAATAAAATTTCTTGCTAGGATACAAACAGTCTGGGTTTGAATGAAATATACACGTAGAAGCTGAATCTTACTAATAAAAAAACTCACTCAAAAATATAACCCTAAGTTAAGATTTTAAGCTGTATATTGAGTATTAAACTACCTAAATACTGTATGGCTGAATCTGGGTCCGTAACAGTGACCCATGATGGGCCTATATGGGACCAGCGTTTCCATGGTCACCATTAGCTTGGAGAAATAAGTTGCATAGCCTGCATTTGGTAAACTTTTTGGGCAGCAACTTAATTTAGGTTGGAAATATACATCTTCATATATGTATCTCCTCCCTCTCAGGGAGAAAGGTGTCAATGTCTTTAGGTAAGTCCATTGTTGTGGATACTGATGATTGAAGGAAAGATGGAAGCAGTAATGATAACCTATGATATTGAGGTAGGTGTCTATTACCTCAGAATTTCAAATTTCATTTTATTTCTCTGCCTCACATCAGACAAGTATGTCATACCCTTCTCTCTGAATTATGAAAAATGAAGGCAGGATCAAACATACAATTTGTCATGATCTCAACATTGTTCTTTATGTAGATTCACAGTTACAAGTTGACACCATTTTTTAAAATGCTTTTGAAAAAACTATCTACCATTGAAGCATGTTGAGTCTAATCAACTATGAAATCAAGATATCAATATTTCTTAATAGTTTCTTATGAATTAAAATTCATATATATGGCAAATTTAAATATTTTGAAAGCTGAGTATGCTATTTATTTTTGTTACATTTTTTAAAAATTCTGAAAGGTAGCTTAATAGGGAGAGACAGGCACACAAAAATGCATTTGTACAACTATAAACATGAAGATTTAGATTAAACTTTCCAAATTTATGAAACACTCTGGGTCTTCATACACATATGAACCATTGTAGTGTATTTAAATTACATTATATTTCTCACTGTAAAACTGCTGTGTGTAAATACAGAAGGATAATTATTTGAAGCTGTTAAATATTTTTAATTTATTGTGTTGCATTATGACTCATAGTTTATTTGTAGTAAGATATAAATAAAAGTGACCTACAATTATTTTAGTTTTCAATCAAATCATGGGGATGATCTTATCTCTTTTACATTATATACTGAAATAGGTATTTGATTCCTAATCTTTACTGTGTACAGCTTTGTCAGTTTTGGAGAGTATCTATCTGGATCATACTGGAAAGCAAAATTACATCTAGCTAAATAAAGATACTTTTTTTCTCTAGGTATTAAATAGCTCCCACATGTTAGTGATATGAATTCCCTTGTTAAATAAGTTAAGAATACACTAAATGCTACCAAGTGAGTGCGCAATAACTGAAGAAAAAGAAAACACTCCACATGTTCTGCAATATTTTAGTCTCTCCCCTTTAACGTAATTGAAATAATAAAGTTATAGTCAAGTTTATGTTTAGTTAATTCTGAAATTCATTATTTGCAGCCAAATTAAGGGTTCAAATTCATTGCATGTTGTAAAAAATACTGAATATGCATAATTTTTCTGTCCAATATTTCCATTCCAAAATATTATGTTGAAAACTTTAAAAATGTGTGTTCACATGCTATTATTTACTAAAATTTTAGAATATGGCCTTCTGGCCATTAATGAATTTTTGTGCAAGTGCAGTTTTATTCAAAGTAGAAGTGTCTTTGTGCTGTTGAGGTGAAGCCCTTTCCTAAGAGTATGCAGTGGCAAAAGCCTATCAAACAAACACACTGAAGAATAATTGAATAAGTATAATTTACTTTATGACTTGCTGATCATTAAGTAGAAAGGTATTTTCTAAATTACGTAAAGACTAAAAAGATACGTTTTGAGTTATTTGAGCTTTGATCTCATTCTTAATTGAAATAATTCTAATTATTTGATGTAATTCTAAATCTCAGATTGTATCAAAGAAATCTGATTCCGTGGACAGGGAGCCTCTAATGATGGCTGGGATCTTCATGGTCCTGAGCCCCAAATATTCACGTGTTCAGCAGTTATTGCCATGCCAGATGCCAGACACAGGTGATTAACATGATACAGTAATTAGTAGACATGGCTCCCATTTAAAGGGCTTATTGCTGGAGGTAGATTGGTGGATGGAGAAACAGATGATAGAAGAAAAGTAAACAGGTTGATAAAACTGCGTGAGCAAAAGTAAAGATATCCTATAAGGTCAGAAGTTTTTTGGAGGAGGTAATGCTTTGGGAAAAAACGTATAATTCTTTTTTGTAGAAATTCAATGTGTGAAGGATAGAATTTGAGTACAAGGTTAATCAGATGAGTCAGAAATCTGTCACATTTACTCAGATAAAGAGGATAACTTAAAACTAAAAAAAAAAAAAAAAGAAAAATGCGTGTGGTAATTGGATGAACATGGCTGTGTGGGTGAGGTTTGTCATAAAGAGTTAAGCTCTCTTTCGATACTGCAAGTAGCTTTTACGCCTCACACCTGCCTCTTGTGTCTCTCACCAGGCCAAAATTGTACGGAAGCCCAGGTGTTCCCCCTCTAGTACCTGCAGGAGTCAGAACACCCAATCGCCTGCCTCCCTACGGGAGTCGTCACTCGGGCCCGCCCTCTAACCACAGTAAAAGCCCCAACCCAGTCTGCTTTCCTGGTTCTCTCCAGCCACCCCGGACCTGCTTGAGGCTGTTCTGCTCATCCCAGAGATCTCAGTTAAGTAAGTCACAACTCTTTTCCTGCCTTCTTGGTGTGTGTGTGTTGATATCCTCTCTTGCCACATTCAAACCAGGTTTTGGGTGAAAGTTCCTCCTGTTTTTACAACGCGGCCTGGGTACAATAATGTTGAAAGGAGTTTAATGGAGTAAGACTTCCAAGTTTTTACTGTAGGTTACTAGGTATTCATTCTCTTTTATTATCAAAAAAAAGGGGGGGGTCTGGATCATAATGAAGTTTGTTAGAGGTCTTAATGATTTTTCACTTTTATGTCTATTGAATTGAAGTTTTCCTGCTGAGCTGGTTAGTTGTTTAGCCTATTTTTGGCTTAGGAAATCAAAAGAGAATATAGAAGTCAAAGTCATTTTAATATAAGGAGTGTTACTGGGAAGAGGGAAATAAGAGTTACCTTGGTTCTTAGTCACCTGAAAAAACATTTTTTTTTCACAAGAGACAGAAAATAATGATGTAAACAAGATTTTATTAGTAAAGTAGAAAGGTAGTGAAATATAGTAGACTCCCAAGAATTGGGAGCGGGCCAACCCAGGAGAGGGAAAATGGCGCTGCTCCTTTGTTTTTCCTATTTTTATACGCTGGCTTTGGGGGCGTTTTTGTAATTGATTGATTGATTCACGGCTCAGGTTCTTCGAGTGCTCAGGCTGATTGACAGCTCAGGTTCCTTGTGCTCAGGCACGCCCATCTCTGTTGAGCATGTTCTTAACCCATGAAGCGCGCAGAGAAACCCACGGGAGGGGCTCAAGCTGTAATGTTAATTACATTGCAATGAGCACTGAGGCAGGTTAAGCCAGGTCCTTCTGTCTATTGCGCAGCCGCATTGTCTCGATCCTAGCCAGCTTCTTTGCTGGCCCTCATCTGGAGAAAGTAAATGTTTTTGGAGCCCCTTATCCTGCGTGCAGGTGTGCTGTTATTTTCTGGATTGCTCCTGTTCCCGTCCTCTCCCCCGGCCCGGTGCTCATTTCTATCTAACTGCCTAACACAACTACTTGAAAGTACGTGAAAGTTCAAGTCAGCCAGGAAAGTGTTTTTGGAGTCAAAAAACAGGAATTACCATAATTCATATAGTTTAAGGTTTTCTATTAAATAACTGTTCTTATGAAAATAACAGTGAAGTCTAATCACCCATTTTAACATAGTAAGTTCAAATGAAAATGCCATCAGTGTTAGATGAAAAGAAATCCTAGCAACAGATGGATTCTCTCATTATATATGTAGCACTTTTCATGCTTTTTAGATTTTAAGATGACTTCAGAACTAAACCAGCAGTTTATAGTAGTTGCAGAAGCTGCCTTCTACAGCATATGTGCTAATTATAAGTATTCTTTTTCATTTACAACGTCTTATTAACATGGATTTATGCATAGCTAGTTAATAGTCTCCTTACAAATTCATGTAAACATGCACCCATTTCTAATATATGGTAAAATAATATAATAATAATAATAATGATAATAATAATAATTGGGACTGTTTCCTGTTTCATGCCTACTGGGCTCTTCTTTCACCAAACCATATTAAAAATGGAAAAAGCACAAAATTTGAAAAAAATTTTAGGTAAAACTTTCCAGACATTGCTTTGCTCTATAAGACTAAATACATTCAGATTAGAGAG